ACGTGAGGAAGCGAAGCGCTGGGAACCCGGGTGCTGGCACTGCCAGGCTCTGTGTGCAGCAGGAGGTTGGCGGAGGTGGCGTCCATAGTGGAGGAGACAAAGCCTGGGCCCAGCCTGGCGGTTGAGGGTACCATGGGAACCTGGATGCCGACATCCTTCACTGGAAACTAAACCTGGCGAAACACAGCTACTCTTCCGAGTCTCCTTAGTTAAGAAATTGAAGCCAAGTTCAGGATGTAAGGGGGGTGGATAAAGTCTGTAACCTCAGGTGTGTCAGGGCGTGAGTTTGGGAATTTCTCTAAGCTGGAAGGTAGGGTAGTGTGAAAGCCCCCAGGATGAGCTGAAATTACAAAGCACAGGAGAGAGTGCAGAAGTGAGCATGCACTGTACTATAAGAACAGAACCAGACCCCCCAACTTCAATAATTTCTTGGCGTGAAATCATCAAGATATGTTCAAAATGATTAATGAAACAAAAGAATTTTTAAAAAAATGAGTAAAACACTGGAAAAATAAGATAGTTTACAAAGAATTCTATAAATTTTAAATACAATCATTAAAATTAATAGCAAATTTGATATAACTGAAAGAGACTCACTCAGCCAGATGGTAGATCAGGAAAATCAGAGTTTGAACAGAGAAACATGGAAAGTAGTTTAAGGCTTTAATTGATTACTGGAAGATAACATGGAAATGTCCAACGTATGCACAGTGGGAGCACTAGGAGAAAATAGAAAGGAGAGCAGAAATATTTGACAATATAAAGCCGAGCCGTTTTCCAGAATTGGCAAGGGGTAAAATGCGTGTCACATTTTACAGTACTCCTTGTAAGAACTCAAATAGAATGTATAGCTCCTAACAGAGCACAAGAACTATGATGAAATAAGGAAATACTGTTCTAATCAAGGGGAAAAACAGAAAAATAATTTTAAAAGGAAATACAATGATAGAAAATAATTCAGGTAGCATTATAAAGCAGGTTAAAATCAACCTTATGCATCAAAAACTGAGATTTTTCTTTTATTTTCATTTTTGGTGGTTCTAGAGGTTTAACGCAGTGCCTTGGACAAGCTTAGGCAAGCACCCATCCCTGAGCTGCAGCCCTAGCTCGCGCCCGCACTCTGGGGCAACCAGGGCCGTTTTGAGACAGGGTATCTCTAAGTCACAACGTCGACCGGGCTAGGCTTGAGTGTGCAGTCCTCCTGTTTCTGCCTCCACGTGTGCTGGGATTACAGGCATACGCTACTACAGGCAGCGCGCACCCTCCCCTCTCTCTTTCTCTTACTGTGTGTCTGCCAGGTCTCAACAGGTTGTACAGGCTGGCCTTGAATTTTTTTTTTTTTTTTTTTTTTGGTTTTTCTCCGGTACCGGGAACCGAACTCACGACCTTGCGCTTGCCAGGCAGGTGCTTTTGCCGCTGAGCTAAATCCCCAGCCCCTGGCCTTGAATTTTGAATTTTTGATCCTCCTGCCTTACCCTCCTGAGTAGGTGGGATTGCAGGCAGGCGTCACCACGTCTAACTCTGATTTAAAGTGAAATTAAATTTTTTAAAGGTTAAAAAAATACTTTGGAAATTTTAAACAATTTAACTCTTCAAAGAGAACTAATAGTGAAAAAGAAATACAACTTTGCATTGTGTGCTCGTCAGACTTCTCTGAAAGTACTGCTACATCCTCTGGGTGGTGTCTCAGCTGAAATTTGGTTAATATTTTTAACCTCTGTATATATGTATGACAGTGTCTGCATGAGATTGTTCAAAGCTGGGTGGTACAGCCAAGTGCTGTATAGGAGAAACTGGTATATTTTATATGGTCTCAGTATGTATTTAAAATGTTTATACCCCAAAAGAAAAAATTACAAAGATAACTGACCAAAACAAAAATTTATAGAAAGAGAACAGATGTGAAGTAGATGAACAGAAATGAAGCACAGTCATAGTAATGAAAATTAGTAGAACCAAAGCTCATTCTTTGAAGACTCTTCCAGACAAGCCACTAGCAAAATCACTGATAAAAACCCGCAAAATTACAAATAAAGAACAGTACATTGCAGGAAAAAAATTTTTAAAAGGCTGAACAGTGAGGCAGTACTTTTGAAAACAATTGAACAGTTTTCGAGAAGTAGCAGGTCATACCGTGAGGAAAGGATACACTGTTGAACTAATTGTTGTCTGGGCCTGCGAAGTAAAACAACTCCTTGAATCACGGAGAAACCCCGCGGAGAAGCCAGCTTTGGGAGGTCAGCCGGCACAGTTAGCCGGAGGGGAGGGCTTCCTGAGCCGGGAACCTGGTACAAGCCATCGAAGAAGACGGGGATGAACTTGATGGGGGTAAATGAGAGTTTGGCGGTAGCTCTATACGGAAGACGGGTGCCGTATACAATCTTGATCAAGGACAGGTGTGCACCGTCACCAAACTGCAGGTCCGGAAGACAGCTGTTTCTTTCATGTGCTTCTGTTTTTTAAAATGAAGGGTCTTTTTTTTTTTTTTTTTTTTAATGAAAATGACATAGTACAAAATGCCCAGATCTCAGGCATGTGCTTTGAGGCCTTCCTGTTTGGTCATTAGAGCAGAGGATTTTACCCATCCTTGAACTTCCTATAAGTGGAATTGTATGTGTCTTAACTTTGTCTATCCATTGTTTTTATTGGTTTTGGGGTTTTGTTTGTGTTTGTCTGAGGTAGGGTCTCCCTCCGAAGTCCAGACTGGCCTTGAACTCATATCGATCCTCCTGATTGTGCTTCAGCCTCCCAAGTGCTGGGGTTACAGGCGTGCACCACCACGCCTGGCTGGCCATTGCATTTTTGAGGTTCATTCATGATGCGTATACCCGAAGCTTCCTCTGTAGACTGCAGAACGCACTCTGCAGGTGCCAAGGTGTGCATTAAGAATCAGCCATACTCCTATAAAGTGGTTGCGGCCTTTGGGACTCCCCATCGTTAATGTGTCAGCACACTTCTATAATGTTCAAGTGTATGAGCAGGCAACATAAATGAGAGGAATGCAAACAGCTAAATGTGTATCAGTACCACGCCCACCGCCACGCTCATGCGTGGGCAAGGTTGAGGGCAAGGGAGGCTCACGCAGGGCCAGGGGCTGGCTGTCCACCCTAGAGCAGGCCTGGCAGCGTGCAGTAAAGATGAGCTCATGAAAGGAACCTGCACAGCTTTACACAGGAACGTGTTAATGATGGGGCAGCTTTGGCAGTACACACAGTTGGTACCTGCCGAAAGGCATCTAGCAAGGGCCGTCAGCTGGAGAATGGGTACATTATTGCAAGTGTGAAGTACACACCATCTTACATGTGACTGCAGCGAGCTCAGCCTTATCAAAATCATGCGGGAGCAAACTTATGTTTGTGTAATCCGAAAATGTAAAGTGTGTAAAGTAACTTTATACAGCTATCCAGTGAAATTGTAAGTTCAGAGGAACAGCATATACCAAGTCCTGGGGTTGTTTACTCTTAGGATAAGAGGAAGGAAGAATGGGATTGATGAGCCATGGAATTACATTTCATGTCCTAAGAAGTCGGAGTGAAGGGGCACATGGGTGGAATAATGTGGGAATATAGTAAGGTTTGTCTGCTGGGTGTGGTGGTGCACACCTGTAATACAAGCACTTGGGAAGCTGAGGCAGGAGGATCACCACAGGTTGAAGGCTAGCCTGGGATACTTAGCAAGACCGTCTCTAAAAAATACTTGTCAAAACTGGGTCATGCACAGAGATAGCTGGTTATTGTAATCTCATTCTCTGTGACGTGTAATAGGATGATCCCCCCTTTTTAGACATAATTGGATTGCTGCTGAAGTTGAAGAGTAGCTTCTGACCACTAATGTACCTTTCTTTTAGCCTTTGGCTTTTCTGTGGGTGTGGTCTGGCCATGTTTCTACAGAGATGCCTAAATTAAAGATAGTAGCACTCCGTTAACTTAAGGTATTTTTACTTCGATATATTCAGACTTTTGTATTATTTGTATGACTGCTTAGAAAGAGCTTCTCTAGCCCAGTAACTAGTAAGTGGTCCTTCATATATTCCTAGTTTTACGATTTCAGTTTGTATATTCTTTTTTTTTTTTTTTGGTTTTTCTCTGGTACGGGGAACCGAACTCACGACCTTGCGCTTGCCAGGCAGGCGCTTTTGCCGCTGAGCTAAATCCCCAGCCCCCAGTTTGTATATTCTTATTAATTCATTTGTAATGTTTTTTTGAAATAGCTTTCTTTACTGTCGCTTCTTAAAGAGTCTTTTCCTCACTAATGGGAAGTGTCTTCAGTGTAGTGGCATACCCTTACATACGCCAGACTGCTGCATTTTGTTGCTGTGTGTTGCTTCTCCATTTCCTGTTTTTAGCTCAGCCATCGTGCTTATAGGCTGTGGCGGCACGCAGGTCTCTGCCGTCCCTGTCCCAGCCTCTTCTCACTGCAGATGTCCCTGCTCCGGGCACGTGGGCGGTGATTGCAGACACCTGTCACCGCAGTGGTGCAGGGACTGCGCTCCCCGCATCCCTCACCTTAGAACCCAGCTGTGTGCATCCGCTTGTAAGATTTATAACAGGTGCTTCTGGAATTGTTACTTATAGCTGAACATCTTCACCAGCTGAGATTATTAGTAACTTGCTGTCTTTCCCGAAATAAATACTGTAATTGCTTTTCACTGTATTTGCAGTCTTTCCTTTCTACCTACTGCCAGTTCTTCCCACACCTAGGCTCTCACGAGGCAGCTTTCCCCGAAGTCAGGCACATGAGGCAGCCCGAGCGGTTGGGCTTCTTCCTTGGCAGTCATCCTGCGGGAAGTGCCGCGAGCTTTCCAGGCTGCATACACCCTTGTGAACGGGCGTCCTCACTTCTTCCTTACTTGGGAATGCAGGAGAGAGCTTTTTCGCACTGTTTCACAGGCTTTGGCTGATACATTGGGAATGCGTTGATAACAGAATACAAGGGAATGTGTTCGTCTCAGTCGCTGTTGTTGTGCATTCACGTGTTGGTTTCCTTAGCTCCTCTGCAAGCCATGTTTATAACTACTGCACTAGCGTACACCAGTCCAACCAAGCCCGGGGAGCTGGAGTGCCGCCTTCTAAATCAAAAAAGGGACAGACGCCCGGAGGAGCCCAGTTTGTTGGCTTGGAATTGTACAAACGACTTAAGGAATTTTTGAAGAATTACTTGACAAATCTTCTTAAGGTAAGGTGTTTTATGGCTGTGTTGAACATGTATAATAGAATATCTAAAAGGGGAAATAATGATTCCACCTTCAGTAAGCGCGGACAAGTCATCCATTTGTTCTTTGCTTTGGGCATTAACATGTGCGTGGAGATGTTCTAGTGTTGCTTATCACGTTGTGCAATGTAATCTTGGTTGTTACACGTGGTCGTGAAGTCTTTTCGAAAACTGCTGTGCTGTGCTCGGGATGAGGGTGGGGCCTACCGGTAACGCTGACCTCTGGGCTCTTCCGCTCGAGCCCTTGCTCAGCGCAGCGGGAGTCTTGTCCCTTTTCACCTTCTGCCCTTGTCCTGTCTTCATGGTCTGGAGCAGGCGTTGGGTAAACAGGTGACACCTTCATCGGTGCCACGTAGGCTGTGCAGACCGAGTGAAGACATCCCTACTCTCCTTGCAAACTTCCCAGGGATGCTTGGAGTTTAAAGACTCAGTTTATACCAATAATATGCAGACTTTTCAGCCGGTCTTATTTTACTAGCTAACTGGAAACACACCATTCCAACAGATTATAATTGATGGACCACAAATTTTGGGAATGTAGTATCACTTTCCTGACCCGGAAACAGCGTTTCTCGTGGCCTGCTGCAACCACTGTGTCCTTTCTTCTTTCTATCACTGCGTAGATTGAACATTGTGATTATTCTCTGGCACCAGAGTGAGGGACACGGTTTTGTGTTGTGTAAAAGATTGATAGGCCATCAGTGGTGTTTTTGCATTTTAAAGGTCCACCATAACCTAGAATGGCTTAGCTTTACACCTTGAAGTTTATTTCATATTACCTAAATGAACAAGAAATTTGGTTGTACCTAGAGGTGGTCAGGTTTTTGCATGGCTGGTTGGGTCACTTGAGTGCCATGATTTTGTAGATGTGTCACTGCCTAGGAAATCTGGTTTAAAGGTGCAAATCTCATGAAAAATAATTTTGGTAAATGCACACTTCGGTGAGATCTTACTAATGAAAAAATATTGTATTTACCTTCTTACATGTTAATTTTTTGACAGGAAAATATAAAAAATACAGGTGATTTTTAAGGTGAATTTCTTAATAAAAAGGAAACTGCCCTTACAGTCTAAAAGTTCAGGGAACTTTTATGAGCATGTGCATATTTAACGCCACAAAAAGAAGTTCTAGTTTAATTTGACGTGAAAGAATTTTTTACTGTGTTCTTGTGAGAATTTTTATTAAGCACCATGTTTCCGTACAGAGTAATGCCTAAGCCGTCAACAGTCATAATGGTTTGAGGCCGTAGGGTTTTCATTAACTTACATTTAGAACGTGGCAGACTAATCATCTTAAAGCTCTAGTGAACTTGTTTGCAGGATGGAGAAGATTTGATGGATGAGAGTGTACTCAAGTTCTACACCCAGCAGTGGGAAGATTACCGATTTTCAAGCAAAGTGCTGAATGGAATTTGTGCCTACCTCAATAGACATTGGGTTCGCCGTGAATGTGATGAAGGAAGGAAAGGAATATATGAAATCTATTCAGTAAGTTGGTTTTTTTTTAACTTTTCAAAAGTGTTTCTTGATTTGTCTTTCAGGAAAGGTACCTAAGCACATGTTAAAGCTGTTTTCAAAATGGGTAATTTCCTTTATTAGTACATGACCCTTAAATACATTGCGGCAAGAAAGTAGAAGGACAAGAAATTGGGATTCCAGAGTCCAGCTGCATACTTCTGCATCCACCTTGTGAAGTGGCGTCAGTTACTTGACTGGCCATTCATCTCACGTACAGCTGCCCTCATCTTGGCTCAAGATGCCCTGAGTCCTGCCAGACTGGAAACTCAGGCGCTAAAGATGGGCCCTCTGGTACTGTCCTGGCCTGAGAATTGTGCTTCCAGGAGGGGACCCTGAATGAGTTACACAGTCCCCTGTTAATATGTTTCTTCAGGGGCTGGGGATTTAGCTCAGTGGCACAGTGCCTGCCTGGCAAGCGCAAGGTCATGAGTTCAATTCCTGGTACCAGAAACAAAACAAAACAAAACAAAAACAAACAAACAAACAAAAAATATATATATATATATATATATTTTTTTTTTCAGTCAGCAAAGGATTTTTGGCCCCCATTGGTTTTCAAAGAATGGTCCTTAATCCTGCAACGTCAGCTCTCACCTGGGAGCTCAGCAGAAATGTAGCTCAGACCTCAGCCTAGACGAGGTCCGGAGGCGGAGCGGCAGTCTGTTGTGGGGAGCTCTCCAGGAGGCCTCGCGCGCGGGCGGAAGCGGCGTGAAGGAGCAGCTGAGGGAGGCCCCCCAGGGGCAGCCTGTCGGCTGTGGCCTGGCAGATGCACCCAGACAGGACCCGTTTTGTACCAGTGCTGTTAAAATAGCAAATTATACGTAATGAGGTGACCTTCACAGCCAGGATTGTCACTATAATAGCAATGTTTTATTTCACTTTTGACAAATTTAATTAAAAGAAAAACAGGAAACCCAGATGCACAAACTAATTTTATGATTTATGTAGCTCAATCCCCGATGCTCAAACTGTTGCCTCATGGTGGTCCTTTGTTATGTAGTTAGATTGTTTCACACAGCTTTCTAGGTTGCTTTTTGACCTGAGGTTTTTGTACTTCCCCTTCTTTAAACATTTTTTAGTTGACAAATCCATACGTATTTATCTCGTCCAGCGTGCAGCTTGCGCACATCGTACCTTGTGGGGTGGCGGCTGTTCTTCCTCCTGCCTTCTCCATGTAGAAGTGGTTTCTTGAGACTCACCGTTGGCAGAGTAGGAATCAGCGTGGTTTCGGTTGTTTCCTTTTTACAAACCCACTTGACCTACAGGATCTTGTGTACCATAGAGCAACTTCACAGATTCCCAAAAATCATGACAATTTTTAAAAACTTTTCTGTGTACTTTGTTCAACTGTGAAGGAGGAATACAGCATACAGAATATTCTATAGAGTGTTTCTCTCAGGATTCAACCAATCACTTATCATTGCTTTTATTGGAGGGGTTGGTTTTTTAAGGCAAGTTCTCACTGTACAGGCTGTCTTCAAACTCACTACATGGCCCAGGCTGGTCTCCAAGTCACACTAATTCTCTTACCTGAGTCTCCCGAGCGCTGAGATCACAGGTGTGCACCACCATGCCTGCCTATTAATTTTTATTTTATTTGTTTGTTTATCTTTGTGACAAGATCTCGCTGTGTAGTTCAGGCTGTCCCTGAACTCTACGTGTACGCTACACTGACTTCAAATTCACAGCAATCCTGTCTCAGCCTTCCGAGTGCTGGGATTACAGGCATGCACCACCACACCTGGCTATTTATTTATTTTTAAATCTTCTTTGAGAACACCTGCTTTCTGCATCCTCGAGTGCTGTAAGTTGTGGCAAAGGCTGATCAGTAACCCCCTAGAGATGCACTGCTCAGGCGAAGCTGCCGAGCTCGCCTGGAAGCCTGGGGAGCACCGGGCAGGGTGCAGCGTTCTCAGGGTGTCTCTCACGTGTGGTGCAGGATCTGCAGAAAATGGAGTTGCTTTATCATGAAATTGTTTCAGGACAGGTCATGAAGTTTTACTTTTTCCAAATGACTTTTGTTTCCTTTCTAATTAAAGGAAGTTGTTGGTTTCCTTTCAGATCAGTCAGTTTCATTATTAATACATTAAAGTGCTTCGTAAGACCTTTTCCCTGGTTTGTTCGAAGTGTTTTAAATGTACATTGCTGCTGCTTTCTCAGCTTGCCTGGCTTCAGGCGACAAGTTGTCAGGGTCCAATTAGGTGTGCTTAAGGGAGTCGTGATCTAGAGAAGTTGGGAGCAGAATTCCTCAGGTGTAGCAGCGCTTGCTCACAAGCTATAGGCGCAGTGTGGAGCTCCACTCACTCCTGCCTGGGAGCTGCGGCCAGACAGTGAGTGCCGAGACTAGGCTCTGCAGGGAGAGGTTGCTGCGCCCCTGGCGTGACAGTCCCCTGGAAAGTGAGGCTCTTCCTTCACGGGTCTTTCAGATGTCAGAATCACGAAATCTTATTTTTGTTCCAATATCAGCCTGCAGTGGACATTGTTTATGCTTTTTCAAAAGTATTTTTCTCTTAAATATTGCCTATAGTTTCTTTATTTTAGTAGAGTCGGCACTTTAAAAATTCTTTATGTAATAAACTAAATTTATATACAGTCTTAGAAGTATCAGTTTGATCATATCATTAACTGTGGGAAAAATAAGACTAATGGCATTTATGTTTAAATAAATTTCTCAAAAGTTTGTGTGTTAAACTCTTAAAAATTTAAATTTTATTTCAACTAATGTGCCATGCCACAGTTTAAAAATCACGTACAGGGGCTGGGGATTTAGCTGAGTGGCAAAAGCGCCTGCCTGGCAAGCGCAAGGTCGTGAGTTCGGTTCCCAGTACCGGAGAAAAAAACCAAAAAAAAAAAAAAAAAATCACATACAAATCTAAAATTCCTGTTTCAGAGCATCTTTATAGTGCTTAGTCAGAACATCTCCTGTGGGATGTGAAGGGAGATAGAAGAACAGGCTATGTTTGTACACTCAGTCAAAAAGCAGATCTCCTGAACAAACACATTAATACAAGTGCAGTGAGAGGTCGGGATGATGAACATACCATGAACTGCATCCATTCCAAGTACATAGCTCGATGCATTTATAGTTGTATACGTACATGAAACCCCCACCATGATTGAGACATAGAACTTGGTGATTTTCATAATCCGTAATTTATCTTACTGTTAGAAAACTTTGATAAACAGATTTATTTTATCAAGTGTTAGGTCAAAAATTAAGTTTATTTGATCCAGGGAACAAGTGTATAGGTTGCGACCAGTCCTTTAAGCTGAGAAGAATACTGTCCTGACATTGTCTTTCTGTCTTGGTTGTTAACGGGAGCTGGTCGGTGCCTGTCCTTCGTAGCTGCTGAAGTGGTTACCTCCGTGAGCAGCTCTTGATCTCAGATTTTACAGGTTATAATGTGGAAATTTTGATAAAATGTGGGATTCAGTTTATTTCCTGACTTTGATCTTAGAAAAACAAAAGCACAGATATTTAAACTTCCTTTTTTTTTTTTTTTTAATCCAGCTTGCATTGGTAACTTGGAGAGATTGTCTATTCAGGCCATTGAATAAACAGGTACCTACTTATGTGAGCCTGTGTGTGTGTGTGTGTGTGTGTGTGTCTGTTTCTTTTTAAAACCCCTTCCTGATGTCATTACTCAGCCTTTGTGTTCTTCTCATGTTTAAAATCCACGAGAGCATTTCTCACCCTGCGTTGTTTGTGGCTTTGACCCCCGCAGGATATGTAATGGTGTCTGTTGTATTCTGTAATCTGCGAATAACTTTCCTGTGTTCTTTCTAAAGGTAACAAATGCTGTTTTAAAACTGATTGAGAAGGAAAGAAATGGTGAGACCATCAATACAAGACTGATTAGTGGAGTTGTACAGTCTTATGGTAAATAATGTCCCTTTAATTTATTCACTTTTCATATCACATGGAAATTATTACAATATCAGACAGATTCATTTAAAAATATTTTAATACCATCAGGAATGTTGCTAGCTAAGTCAGTGTGATTTTTATTTGACTTTACTCATCATAACAGTTGTTTGATCCTTGTGCCTTAAGGAAATTCTGGTGAAAAAGAAATTTGAATTTTTTTCTTTTCTGGTCACATATTGAATTACTATTTATATACTGTGGTAGTGTTATTGAGCTAAATGATAACCAGAAATCTATATCAGCTTGAAAAATTGAGATCGAGAAACTGATAAAGTAATACAATGTCTTTAAAACTTGGGTAGCATTGTTATTTCTTTGAAAGTTTAAATATGCAATTTTTATTGTTTTTGGAAAGGTAAAAAATTCTCCAGGTGAACTTTATGATAATTTTGAAGTATTCCTGGCCATGGGTCATTAATTATTATTATTATTTTAATACAACTTGGATTTTTTTCTTTTACTGAAACAAATGTACCTTAGTACTAGTAAATAAGTTACCTTAGACCTTCCATTTCCATTGACTTTTAAGCATAACTGAAACTGAATGCTACACCTAAGTATTTTCTGTGAAATATAACAAAAATAGGGTAATTGAAATACAGCTCATATTTATTTCTAGTGGAATTGGGGCTGAATGAAGATGATGCATTTGCAAAGGGCCCTACGTTAACAGTGTATAAAGAATCCTTTGAATCTCAATTTTTGGCTGACACAGAGAGATTTTATACCAGAGAGAGTACTGAATTCTTGCAGCAGAACCCAGTTACTGAATATATGAAAAAGGTAAGCGTAAATACAGTACGTAAAGCAGCCTTACGTTGTACGGTCATTGCGCCTCAAACGACCTCTTAGCACACACAGTCTCCACACGAGTCCTGTGTCGGCACTGTGTCCTGTGGTGTCCCCACGCATGTGTGTGCTTCTCCTGCGTCTCTGGGGGCTGCTGTGAACCTGCGATGGTTGTGACTGAGTGTGTGACTGCACGCCTTTCGTGGTTTCGGTTGTTTCTCCTGGGTGTGGATCTGTGTCTAATGAGCGTCGTAGTCTCACCAGTGAGACAGCTTTAAGAAACAAATATTTTTCAAGTTTGCTGACATTTTAAGTTTCTGCTCCTATAACATCCCCTTCGGAGCTGTAACACTGCTTTCAAGTTGCATTGGAGGAGCGGTCCTTTGGAAACAGGAGGATCTGCATCCTGACTTGAGTGAGAACAGGCAAGGCCGACCCGTGTGTCACACACCCTTTGCTGTGCTAAGTGATGTTACATGAGGTCCTTGTAGGGTTGTTCATCGTTCTCTTCCTTGGAGATGCAGGTATCCCAGACATAGGCTCTGAGGAGTGACTAGGTCAGGAGTTGCCGAACATTCTCTGTACATGGGCAGATCGTGACTGCTTTAGGTTTTGTGGACTTTGTGTGGACAGCTGAAGCGGTTCAGCTCTGCTGTTGTAGGGCAGGAGTGGCATGGCGGCACGTAAACAACCAAGTGTGACAGGGTTCTAGTAAAACTTCTATTAAAAACAAGCATCGTCGGGGTTTGGCCTACAGGCTGTCGTTTGCTGACCCCTGAACTAGTGGTACTCGTAGAGTCCAGGGAGTCTGGAGCGAGCTGAGTTTGATGCCTGCTTTGCCCCTTATTCCTACTCACTTGGATAGTGAGTGGGCTGCAGAGATAGAAGGTCAGTCAGCATAGGAAGTTAGTAAAAGCCACAGCTCCGTGCCCATCTCACGGGGAAGGTCTTGCCCCGCTGGCGGTGTCCGGATGCATTTTCCCAGGGAGGACAGTGCTCCCAAGTGGAGCTCCTAAGTTTGAAGGTGAAAGTCCTTGACAAACAGTTTTTCTCATAATCTAATGATGAAACAAATCAGAAATACTACACTTGGGATCCTTATAGTTCTTTGTGCATGTTTTGGGTTAAATTGTATTTGTGTGCAGACTGAGTCCCAGTGAGGCGGGCGTGTCAGACAGCTGCCTACCAGATGGACTTCTGAAATGCATCCTTTCTGAGCCTTCACCTTGTCTGTAACTGTATTTTGTAGTACGACAGTGTTGTTTTCTTAAACACCTCTCTTACTGAGCCTTTCCTGTAGATGGTGATTTTGTAAAAGCTGTGTTTTTATTTATTTATTTATTATTATTATTATTTTAAAGAGTAAAAGAAGGATAACACAGTAATGGGGGGGGCTTACCGAATTACAGACAAAGTGGTAGGAAATTATCAATGGTTGTTGTTTTACATACTGTTATCTACAAGATAGTTTCTCAGGTAAACAAATAGATAAATAATAGTGAGCTACAGACAGAAGTGGTACGTTATTATCAACGGTTGTTGTACTATTTGGTATCTTCAAAGCGGTTTCTAAAGAAAATAAATAGAGCTATACATGAGTGACCAATTGAATAATCATTGACTATTCTCAATGGTTGTTGTAGGAAATGCATAATAATAAACATATATCCATTTATGAAATAGCATAGGAACAGTACAAACATTACAGAGTTATGGGCAGATTAGTAGGAAAATATCAATGGCTGCTGTAGTACACAGTGGTATCTTCAAAGTGGTTTCTCAGAAAGACAGAGATATGCAAGAAAGATGTAACAAGTAGTTGCAGCCTAATGGTTGTAAAAAATAGTGTAGTACCTCCTCACCAGTGACTCCTTTCACTGAGGTGTGACGGCTGGAAGGAAGGCCAGGATTGAAAAGAAGGACCGAGAGACTTGCACCTGTGTCTAGCAACAGGCTGTTTTCTTTTTCCTCTATAGTCATGATTACCCGGGGCTCCTCCATGGAGATGACAGTCTAGCCAGAGGGAGAAGGCAGAGTATGCCCCGGGCCCCCTCATTCCTGTTGGACTAACTGGTAGGATGGGTCTGAGCTCTGGGGCCTCAGCTTCAGAGGGCAGACCGATCTCCAGTGGTCACCTTTGTATTCAAGGCATGGCCCATGGGGCCTCTTAGGGCAGTCCCTCTTGAGGTGGCCTGGCTTTTAACAGCAGTAGCAGATGAATGCAGTCATCAAGTTCTTCTTGGGGCCCCAAGAGTCAGACTTAGGGTCTGTTTCTGTCAGTGCTGCAGCAAAAGCAGCTGCTTTTCTTGGTCTCTTTGTTTTCTCTCCTTGGCCTCCTCTCATCAGAGCTATAGAATACTGAGGAGGCAATTCTTACTAACCTCTCAAGTGAGCCATCTGGGGTGAAAGCCATTTTTGTAGCTTTTTCTCTCCAGGCTCCCAGCGCATTGGGACCCCACAACCACTTAGTGTCCTCTCCCCAACCATCAGCACAGGCAGCAGGAATCTGGGTGCAGACCTCTCCAGAGCTCCACGTGCTCCTCCACTGCAGCCTGTACTGTCAGGGGAAGAATGGCTTCCAGGGGCTCTCCTCAGGTATTGGGCAAGGTCCTCCTAGTTTCCAGCTTCTGAACGGCTCTCGTGACCCTGGTCAACTAGACTTCTGAGTCTTCGTTCTCATGTTCTCTGGGTCCTTGTTTAGTAGCTGCTTCTCCACTGACTCTGGACCTTTCTGGTTCTCAACGGCAGGGCCAAGAGCGACCCGTTGTGAGGCATGTATTCCCAGGGTTTCTCCATGTCGGGATGATTCATGCACATCCCCAGGCGGGTCTCCGCGGCCAGCACGTGGCAGGCCAATTGTGTCATTGCTTCTCTGTGCCATGATATTTCTCGACCTTGCATCAGTGGCTGGCCTGAGGGTCAGTGTGTGCCAGTGCATGCTGCCACGCAGCTTCCCAGGCAACAACTGCCTACCTCCCAGGTGCCGGCACAGCTAGGGTCCAGCTCAAAGGTCTATGCTCCCTGCCGCGTGGCTTCCTGGGCACCAACTGCCCACCTCCCGGGTACCTGCACGGCTAGGGTCCGGCCCAAAAGCAAAGCTGTGTTTTTAAGTGGAGCCTCTCAGCAGGGTACACATCCCCAATAGTCCCAAGCCTGACCTTTTTGTGGACTCTTCATGTAGCGATCGGCTCGCTTACCTGTGCATCATGGAGTGCATTTCTCTGGAGGTGTTAAGGTTTGGCCCAGATCCGCCTGGTGTGTTCTAGACCTGCCTGAGGAAATCTGTAATGCACTGACTCGGTAAGCACAGGTCTTGACTTCCACCATACAATCGGTTCTGCTCTTGTTCTAGAAGCCTGCAACTCCACAGAACAGTGAGTCGTTTGAAAGCCCTCCCCTACCTTCATAGGCATCAGTTTTAACCTTTCTGTTCAACTTCCTCACCCATGAAATAGGAATAATAATAGTAGATTATTATGAGAATTACATTAGTTTGAATTTAGAAACCACCTAAAATGAGATTTCAAAGTACATGTGTATATATGCACGTTAGATGAGTGTGTGACGAAAAGCAAGTCTGGCGGAGAGGTTTGGCCCCACACATACCTTGCAGCAGAACTGTAGGGTAAAGGTAGCCCGTTTCATTCAGTAACTTAGGGAGAAGTGATGTTAACATTAAAACAGACTAGCGCAGCACACAGCTCATGAGCAGTATTGGTGAAGAGCAAACCGTGAAGAGAAATACTGTGCCTAGAGCAGCTACCCTGGGCTAAATGTTCGAATTCCTTGGGGGTCTCTGTTTTTCTGTTTTCAGAAGTCATTTAGGTGAGACACGAGAATCTGCAGCTCGTTTTTCAAGGATGACTGAATAATTTAGGCCACCTTAGGGTCTTTACTATAAGGAACTGCTCCTAATAAAAGAGCTTGGTTTTATATTGTCGTTTGATTGTTTGGTTTTTGTTTTTGTTTGTTTCTTTATCTTGTCCTTTGAATTGCCCTTGGTATTCTGGTATCATTGTCTGCTGATCAGGAGCGTGTTTGTCCAGGGGTCGGTAAAGAACGTACGTGCCTGTCCTGTGTGCTGCACACTGGGCTCTTGGTTTCCTCCCAGTCCAGGAAGCCAGCCATGAGCGCCCTCTTGCTCAGGCCTCATCACTGTCCTGCTGCTCGGTCTCTGCAGGAAGCCTCTGAAGAGCATGGCCACTCTTTTGAGCTCAAGAGGGGAGAAGCCGGGGCCCCTCAGAGAGCGACTCAGCCGTAAGGTCCAAAGCCGGTCTTCGTCTGGGAAGGGGCAAGACTGTTCTTCAGAAAGCGGATGCAGCTTCAGCCAGAGACAGCAGCGCCTCCGCGGGCCTGTGCGGTGTGCTGGGCTGCTGCAGCCTTCGTTCTAGAGGGCCAGGCCGAGCCGTGCAGCAGGATCTGCACCCCTAACATCCCTCATGTCCTAAAGAGCTCTGTGATCAGAGAAATAGAATGGCACACTCGTTGCTGACTCTTGGAAAAAACAGAACCAGCCCTCGAGCCCTGGGATGTTGTTCCTGCGTATGTTTGTAACCCGAATTGCACTGTTGCTGTGGGTTTCTTGGTTAACGAATTGTAAACGTATTTTACACTTACTTTAGTGGGCAGTGCTGTTTCATTCACCAAATTATGCTAGAATTTGTCGTACAAATTTTACTTTTTAATTAGGTAAAATTAAGCGCCTCAGTTGGGTAACTTGAAAATTGTTAGGCTTACTTGTGCACTCCTTGCTCTGCTCCTCTCTCCTGCTTTTACTTGGATGTACTGGCTTGTTAGCGGTGAGCACGCAGTAAGCGTGTCGACCTTTCCGCGCACACTGCAGGTCCTGTCCGAGCTTGTCTGCCCCTCACTCTCCGTCAGATGTGCCGAGGCGCCCGCTGCGCGCTCTGGCTGGGTGGTGCCCCTCAGGTGCTCCGTGTAGGCTCCGCGCGGTCCCTTCTTCACTTTACGTTTTCTTGGCTACTGGGTGTTCATTTCCAGTTTTTCCAGATTTATGCAAAATTATTTCAAATCTGAAAATGATTCTGGGCAGTTTTTGGACAATACGGCCTGCTTGCAATTCAAAATACAATTTTTATCTTTATTCAGATCACCTGAACCATTTGAAATTACTGAAATTTCTTCCTTGCTTTGATAATTTTGTAGCTCCTCTTTGACACTTTTTACCACGTATTTCTGGTGCTGGGTTCTAACACACCGTGACATCCACCCTTCTGTTCCTTCTTCCACCGCCTGTTTCCCGCTCTTTGTTGGGAGGAAATGCAAGAAATTAAGGTGTGTTACCCAGTGAGTTTCAGAAGTACACATTATACTCAGGCTGAGCTGGGTTTTAAAGTCCCGTTGCTGAGTTTCTTTCAAGTAGTCATGTCTGGAACGATACTGGTGTGGCCCCTCACTTCCAGCGGCTTTCGGTCCAGAATAGAGGTTCTTACTATGGTGTCTGCATACCGAAAGGACTGTGGGTTTCTGGGGACAGGTGGGGAGGTTACCCCAAAAGATGGAATACCACTAAAGCGAGAAGGTGGTTGAATAGTAATGACTGTAACGTTGGCAGACTTTAAAGGGGAATTCGGTTGGTTGGTTGGTTTGTTTTTTGTCCTTTTTTTTTTTTTTTTTTGAGGCAGGGTTTCACCGGTGTAGTTCAGGCTGACCTTGAGCTCACTTTGTAGCCTAGGCTGGCCTCGAACTCACAACAATCCTCCTGCCTCAGCCTCCTGAGTGCTGGGATTACAGGCATGCACCACCACACCCGGCTTAAAGAGGAATTTGAAAAGTGGGAAAAACGAGACAGTCTCACTGGCTCTTCAGCTATGGCTGGCATTTGCTCAAAAACAAAAGTCCCCTTTCCTTTTTTTCTTAATCATATTTTATTAGAGCAGATTTGAAGGCTAACTTGCCATTATTCACACAACAGTTCTTTAGCAGCAAATGAAAACCGTTGCCTCACATTAACTCTAGGCAGAGGCTCGTCTGCTGGAGGAGCAGAGGAGAGTCCAGGTCTATCTGCATGAGAGCACACAGGATGAGCTGGCCCGGAAGTGCGAGCAGGTCCTCATCGAGAAGCACCTGGAAATTTTCCACACGGAGTTCCAGAACTTGTTGGATGCTGACAAGAACGAAGGTGGGCTAAGACTCGTGACGGGTAGGTGCTGTACTTCCTGTTGCACTGGTATCTGGGATTTCAAATGACTTGAAATCCCAGCCTTGGGGCCCGTGGCATTACCAGTGCCTGTCATTTCCGAAGAGCTGTCAGGTGTGGACTGTGGTAACAAGTTCTGACCTCCGTCAAGTATTTTGGGTATCGGTTTGGAGAAGGAGGATCTTTCCAGTTCAGTCTGCTGCATGCACTTTAACAGTAAATGATACTACCCCCAGTGGTTTTTCTTCCTTTAAACATTCTCCGAGGTGAGAGAACTGTTGTTTACATTTTTCTTAGTTTCCTGTGTTTTACTGTCATGTTAGGAGCTCAAACATCCCTGTTTGGATTGGGGATTTTTCTTATGTGTCCCTCATATATTGAATATATGCTGCACATATTTATGAAATGAGGAACTTGGGGGACTGACTACCTTGTGACTTGTTCGTACAGTTGAAATAGCTATCCATTTTCTTAAATATTTTCATTTTTTAAAAACCAATAGTTGAGTGCCTATTATGTGTCAGACACTAGTATGTCAATCTTGAGAACCTTAGAAGTATTGAGTGCAGTTTTTTTTTTGTTTTGTTTTTTGTTTTTCTCCGGTACCAGGAACCGAACTCACGACCTTGCGCTTGCCAGGCAGGCGCTTTGCCGCTGAGCTAAATCCCCAGCCCCTAAGTGCAGTTTTTTATTTAAAAGACTTATCTAGTCTTCTGTTAGTGGATTCTAATAAGGGGGAAAATAAACCTATACAATCTGCAAAATAAACTTCTCCAATAGCCTAACTTCATTGTTACTTTCGGCAAAATATACATATACCAAAGAGAAAATGTTGTGTTATAATTAAATGTTTTTAGTTAGGATCTAAAAATACCTAGGAGAGAATATTTTTCATCTCAATATAAATATATAACTAGGGGAACAGATACGCAGAGTTTGTTCCCGTGCTTAAAGGTGCCGCTTTCTTCTTTCAGACTTGGGGCGCATGTATAATCTTGTATCTCGAATCCAGGATGGCCTGGGAGAATTGAAAAAGCTGCTGGAGACGCACATTCATAACCAGGGTCTCGCGGCGATTGAGAAGTGTGGAGAAGCTGCTCTGAACGTAAGTGACACCGCGTCGAGAGCAGTTGGAGCTGCTCGCACACGAGTGCAGGTGTACGCTGTGCGTCCCCATCACAAAGCTGAGAGGTTAAGACTTTGCCTGAAACTCTCACAGAGAACTTGTGTGACTTTTTGAAATAAGTTCGCAAGCCTCTTAACTTAGCAAATGCACCCTTGAGTCATTCTCCGGCACCTTTTAGGGACGGAAGCTGTCAGATTTTTTGCTTTTGCACTTCATTGTCCCTGACTGCCTAACAGAAAAGCTCCTAAAAACTTGCTCTGCCACTGCTGGCACCACGGTGACCTGGCGTTGCTGGCGCCCCTCATACACCCCGGCCCCAGAGCTGCGCTGAGCTGTCTGTCGTTCATGCGGTGGTTTTACATAGGAAGTATCACAGTTTTTGGATTTTAATTTCAAAAGTGCTTGGGAGAACTAATAGAGAAGAAAAGGCTCCAAAATGCAGCTGGTTCTTATGCCTGAGTTCAGAAAACTTTGCTCTCTGTGATTTCATTTTGCTTCCTTTTAATTTTATGAAAATACTTCCCTTAAAATGTTTTTCTTGAAACCGTGCTTTGCTATGGTCTTTGGGAGGTTCTTTTTCCACACTGAATTTGGAGGTTGCTGCCTCATTCAGGATGATGTAAAGTCCTTTGTGTTTATGAAATGCTTAGCCTGACTATGGGAGGGAGTTGGTGTCGTAATGGTGGTGTTGTGAAAAAGATCTTCTAAGTGAAAAGGCAGATTCACTATGAGCTCAAGTGTAAGCCCCCGGGCTGGACCAGTGTGCCGTTCACCTACTGGCCTCAGCCGGCGTGCCTGCCCTGTAGGCCTCTGTGGACAGGCAGTGCGCGTGCGCAGGGCGCTGGCGTCTGACAGCCCTTAGCAGCGCTGAACGCTGTTCCTCTCAAGTGTACGCAATTTTTTAAATACATAATTTGAAACTCACTGGATGTGATGGTACACACATGTAACTACAGTCCTTTGGGAGGCCGAGGCAGGAGGATTGCCAGTTTGAGACCAGCCTGGGCAACTCAGTGAGACTTTCTCAGAATAAAAAGGCTGGGGTGTAGTTCATTGCTCTTAGGGGTCAATCCTCAGTGTTGAACCTGAACAATCTTTTTAATTGTCCTTACATTTTGATGGCTTCTTTTCTTCCTAACTGAAGGTTCCTGTTAAAAAGGCCAGACAGGTGCTGGTTGTGGTGGTGCGTGTGATCCCAGCACTGTGGGAGGTTGAGGCAGGAGGATCGCAAGTACAAGCCTAGCCTGGGCTACTTAACAGCTTGGTGAGACGTGGTCTCAGAATTTAAAAGTGAAAAGAGGACCAGGGATGCAGCTCTGTGCAGAGGCCCTGACTCACTGCCCAGAGCCAGCGGGGGGCCCCCGATAGGCAGGGGGGTACACACAGCCCAGGGATTCACAAGGGCCAACGTGAGGTAAGACGACACCCTTCGCAGCAAGTCTTCCACAGGTGGTCTCACACTCAGCTTTACTCTGGACAGCAGAGCCGGATAAACCACTTAGCTTCCCTTGAAATGAGTTAAGTGCTAAGTTTAGTGGATCATCAGACAAGCATGATAATCATGGATGAGAGGCGGGTATGGCAGCACATTCCTGTAATCCAGCACTCAGGAGACAGAGGCAGGAAGATCACTGCAGGTTCAAGGCCAGCCTGAACTACATAGTGAGACCCTGTCTCAAAAAACAAAAAAAAAAATAGCCAAGCGTGGTGGTACACAGCTATAATTCCAGCCCTCAGGAGGCTGAGGCAGGAGGATCGCTGAGTTCAAGGCTAGCCTAGGCTACGTAAGCAAGACGCTGTCTGTAAGTAAGCAGATAAATAATCATGGATTAATGAAGGAGGGTTTGCTTTTTTGTGTGAAATGTTATATTAAACAGTGAGATTGGCTGGCCTTAGGGGCTTCACATTTTATCTGTATATAATTAAAAGTACCAGAAAAAAAGAGGTTATTTGAATTAGTAAAAATCAGTTATAATACATAATTTTTGGTGGGACTTAATTACTTTGAGAAAATGATTTTTTTAAAGTTTGAAAACCTTTCTCAGTCCATTTGAATCATAGGCTCTAAGAATTATTTACAGTTAGCATATTTAATGTCATAGAAGGCATTCACTAAGTGGTGTTTGTTGCGGGGGTTACTGGTTGGTTCTCGTTTTGTCTTAAGGCACAGTCTCATTCTGCATTCCAGGCTGGACTTGAACTCACGGCTGTCCTCCTGCCGTGGCTCCCAGGTTCTGGGCTTGTGTGTGTGCTGCCGTGCCTGGTGTAAGTTTTTTTTGAGGGCAAAAGTTTCATCGTGTGCTGATCTTGCGTCTTGCTCCGAATGGTACTACTTACGTTAAATTCCACACCTTTGTTCTTGCAGTGCTGGGGGCCACACTCGGGGCCTCCCACTGGCGCTGACCACTGAACTACATCCCCACCCCGCTCTGCTTCACTTTGAAACAGGGCCTCACTTAGCCAGGCTGGCCGCAGACTTGCAATCCCTGCTGCAGTCTCTCCCGCAGCTGGGATCACAGGTGCACACTCGGCCCGGGCCCACAGAGAGACAGTTTCTTACCCGTCTGGAACTGTGATCCCATTTATACCATTCATTTGGTTCAAAAACACCCTTCCTGCTAATGTCTGGCGTAGACTGAGATTATTACCAGTTTCACATTCAAACGGTATTTTTGTGGCAGATACCTCAAAGCCTACATGTCAATTTTTCTTGAGGAGTTTTAAAAAACATATTTAAAAGCAGTTACAAAATGAAAAGCTATTTCTGAGTAACCAGCTCAAGGGGAGTTTCCCGGGGCATTTCCCTGGGCACTTGATAAAAACTGGCCGCCGTACCCCAGAGTGCCTGACCGCTGAAAGATGAGCCTCCAGCCTGTGCTGTTTTTAGATGCCCGTGCCCGGCAGGGCACCCCGAGGAGGGGCCTGGTACTGCTGAAAATGTGAATTGGTGTCGATAGCATACGGCTAAATCCATGGAGCATGGTTAGGGAAGCAAGGGTGGTTTGTCACAGAAAACTGTTTTCTCTAAGTGAACAGATACACAATTGTCGTTTTCAAGCCTAGATACCCACGATACACCTTTCAGCAGAGGGAGGACTCCAGTCACCCACAGTCGTTATGGAAGCACATGTCTAGCCCAATCAGTCCTTCTGCCGCCTCAAACTAAGTTCTGATGTAACCCTTCCTGTGTGTTTACGCAACCTGAAGGGACCGCCGCTTGGCCCAGGCCCGTTAGGGGCCGCGCGCACCCTCCTTCCACCTGTCCTCACGGAGACGGGCCCCCTCCTGGCTCCTGGGTTGAATGAGGTTAGTGGCTCCTGAGGGTGCTCTGTGGGCCTCTGCTGATGACTCAGCTTCCCCAGTCCTTGTAAAATCCAGCGTTTGCGGCTCTGATCACCCAGCCTGACCCTCGTCCACCGACAGTTGTGGTGTCGGCACGGTGACTTGAAAGCCTTAGGAGAGACTTCGCCTTAGGACCGAATGAAGGTGCAGGTGTGCGACGCAACTCGGGGAGGGTCTCACATCGCAAAGGCCATGGTTGCTGTAACCGGTGCCCTCGGAGTGGGACGTGCCTGCGTTACAACAAAAAATACTGGAACTTGAAGGAAGCTCTGGTATTTACGTACATCTCCTATGAGACCATTCCCCTTCGCTCAGTGTGGCCCAGACAGGCCAGGTGTGCCGGACCCACCAGCCACGGGTTGGGCACACCTGGGTAAGAGCCCATAGCGCAGAAAGCGGAAAGTGGTGATGATCACAGGTTTCTTAAGTATGGACAGAGACCTAGAGCCATGGTGACAAGAGAAATGATGATAGTTAAAGCAGAAAGTAGCAGACAGGTTAAAATAAGGAAAGTAGAAAACAATTTTTAGATCCTAATGCATTTATCTGTAGTTTTAAACTTTAAGCCGCATACAGTCTGAAAGACTTAATAGTCCTGCTTATTGAAAAAGGTGAAGTGATGGGTAGAAAAGCTGCGTTAAGAAAATGTGTGTCTCGTGTTACTAAGTGGCTTGTGAGCCTCACATTTCTGTTTTTCTGGGGGGTGGGGCACCTCAGAAATGTGGGTGATGGGGAAAGCCAGTCCCTGGTTAAAGATTTGCACAGGTGATTTTTTGTTTTGTTTTGTTTTTCTTTGAGACAGGGTCTTGCTGTGTGGTTCAGGCTGGCGTTGAGCCTGACCTGGAACTCACAGCCATCCTCCTGCCTAGGCCTCCTCAGTGCCGGGGTTATAGGTGTGTGCCACCAAGTCCGATAGGTGATTGTCAGAGTGGAAATCTTACTACAGTCAGGTTGTCAGCTGTGTGTCTCCACAGTGGGTGGTTTGGGAGTGTGTGTGTGTCTGGGAGGGTGGGACTCGGGCCTGTCTTCTGTTCGTGTGGAGATAAGTCAGCGCAAAGACAAGCGCTTTCAGGAGGGAACACGCTGCCCCAGAGGAACAGCCACGTGATGTGTTTGTTACTTCTTGAGGCTTTGTTTCTTCCTCCTCTTGTCAAGAAAAAGCTGCCCAGCCTAAGGACGGTGGGCGGCGCCGGGCCAGGCCCGTGCCTCGCGGGGTCTGTTGTTGCCCGCGTGTCCTCAGAAGGCTTGGTATCCATTCGCGACCCGCTCTAGTTGCCTCTGGCTGAATGAGGACAGGTGCCCCGGGGGCTCTGGGAGCGAGCGGCTCCCAAGGACCGCTCAGGCCTGCTGCTCACCTGCAGGCGGAGGGACGTCCCCTGGCCCGTAGCGGCCCGGAGCCCTCCGCTGACAGGGTGCTTGGGTGGCACTGACTCACTAGCAGGCGTTGGAGTGCTGCAGTGACGGCCACAACTGACGCGCGGTCGTGCCCAGCTTCATACGGGCTCTGCGTGAGGGAAAGCCTTGAGCCTCTTGGCGTGTCGTCTTTTGTTGTTGTGTCCCTTTCGAAGGATGCATAAGATAGACTCGTAAAGTATATTTTCCCTCACCGAGGCTGTATAAGCATCACGCGAGCCCCACGGGCCCCCCCGAGCCAGTGCCCGTGAGAGGCTGCCAGTGGCAGGTCGCGAGCGGCCCTCTTGCAGCGGGCTGGAGAAACCTTCCTGAGAAGACTTGGCAGGTAAGAGGCTCCTGCCTGGGAAGCCCGGAGAGGCCTCTCTCCGGCCCTCGGAGCCGCCTGCCGGCCCAGGACTTGGACACACTCTTGCACTCCAGAGCCCCGCTGCAGCGCCTCCTCGCTGGCCACCTGCCTCACCCTGCCGGGTCTTCCTGCGTACAGAGAACCTTGGGTTTGGAGCCTGCTTGGCTCTTGGCAGAGGTTTCTTCTCATGCAGAAAATCCTCCTGGGCTTTTCTTGGCATTCATGTTTTTCCATATCTGACAAACATTAGTTTAAAAAACCTGAGAAGTCAGGAGAAAGTGTTGTCGTTCTGCAGAGACGCGCGGTAGCAGCAAGCACAGGGTCACCACGGTTCTGAGGACGCGGCCAGGGCAGCGCTGCCTTGCGAGGCCCCGCGGTTGTGCCCCTGTGCTCGAGGCTTTGTAGCTCCTCGGCGGCCACTGGGGAGTGGTTTTTGTAAGAAACGAGCGTTCGTACGTTGGCGTACAAAATGCACTTTATACTAGTCCTATGAGTGCTGTTCCCAAAATTGCGAGTTTTGGAAGCAAGTCCTTCAGCTGGCGCGTGGACGTGCTCTTCCCCTCACTGAGAAACGGGACGTCTCCCTACCCGAATTCGCACGGTAGCTGCACCGCGGCAGAGGACGGGCATGGGGAGGACCCCGAATCACAAAGTGCCGGGAACTCGGGCTCGGCCACAGGGATGGAAATAGATCCTGCATTTATTGTATCTTTTTCTAAGTATTGACAACCCCAGAAACTTCTGGGTTTTTTTGGTTATAAAATGACACTCTGCCGGTTACTTGTTAGTTAAAAATGAGGAAAACGTTACCCAAAGGCGGCGTAATGAGACTTGGGGCTTCTGGTTCCTCGTGTATCAGGAACTTGTGCTGTGTAGACCCCCGTCCCTTGGCCCTGTGTGGCCAGGCCACCCCCACCCCAGGCCTGAGGTCACTGCTTTTGTCACCTGTGTCTTTGTGACTTGGCGCTTGGAGCCTTTTCGCTTTGCAGAGTTGTAGAGACTGTGTCACCTGCCTGTTCCTTCTTAGCCAGACTCGGGAGTCACCCGCCCGTCCTTACCCCGGGCCAGGTGCACAGCCATGGCTTACTCCTCCCTCAGTGATGTGGGGACAAGGGTCCTGCCCGCCCCGCCTGTGTGACCGTCCTGTGTGGCCTCAGGAGTCGGGCGCTTAGGGAGTGCTCAGCGTCAGCGCCGGGTGATGGTCTCACCTCAGACCAGCGGCTCCTTCGCGCCTCCTTCCGTTCTGTGACTCAGGCGATGCCCTGTCTCCACCAGCCTGGTGCCGAGGCTCCCCCCGTGGCTTGGCCACTGCCTCTTCCTGTTGGCCGATCTGCACACCCACCCTGTGCTCGACCAAGCCTGCGACCTTCTTGGGTTGCTGATCCGCTGCATGGTAGATTGTGATCTCTGGCTGGTAGGTTTTGCCAGCGAAAGTAAATTTTAGAATTTGGATTTTTAACCAAAAAAGGTTATCTGAACAAAGCTGTCGCTTTACACTTTGAAAATTTTATTTTCAAGATAGTTCTGAGGTTTTGCCATGTTGGTTTTTTTTGTTTTTTGAGCGGTCTTTCCCTCCAGAATAGCCTCAAACTCACCACGATCCTCCTGCCTCAGCCTTCGAGTGCTGGAATTCCTGGCATGCACCACCACACCGAGCAATGCCTTTGCTGTTTTTAATGCAGCCTTGAAATCAGTATTTAATTTTGAGTCTGGCAGATACATTTTCTTTGCTAGTACATACAAACGGAATGTCCTGTGTGTCAGTGGTAAAACCAAAAGTATTGCTGATCATACCCATAACCTCTTGGAAAATGCATGTAAGCCTTTCAGAACATTTTATGGTGCCTCCTTAATGTGCAGTTTAATTTCCAGTAACCAGGTTTTTTCCTTTTTTTCTGCTACTAAAGGACCCCAAAATGTATGTACAGACAGTGCTAGATGTTCATAAAAAGTACAACGCTCTGGTGATGTCGGCCTTCAACAACGACGCCGGCTTCGTGGCTGCGCTGGACAAGGTGAGCTGGGCGCCCTGTGCCCTCTGGAGGCGTAGGTGGGGGTCGCTGTCCTCTGACCACCCTCTGTGTGACAGGCTTGCGGTCGCTTCATCAACAACAACGCGGTGACCAAAATGGCCCAGTCGTCCAGTAAATCTCCTGAGTTGCTGGCTCGGTATTGTGATTCCTTGTTGAAGAAAAGGTACTAAACGACTGTTTCTTCTTCTTCTTTTTCTTTCTTTCTTTCTTTCTTTTTTGTTTTAATCTTTTTGAGACAGAGTTTCACTATGCAGTTCTGGCTGGCCTCGAACTCACAGTGACCTCTTGCCTCAGCCTCCTGAGTGCTGAGGTGACAGGCATGCACCGCCACACCTAGCTATGACTGGTTTTTCTTAGTACACCAATTTAAAATCTGAGCTTTTATAAGGAATTAAAATAGATACTCCATTTTACATGAAGTGTAATCGTCATACCTTTTGAGACGAGAAAGTTAAGTCATCACATTTCTGGTGAAACCTGCCCCAGCCCCCAGTGGCTGTTCGTGGCGAGCAGAAGTGCCCCAGTGCCTCGTGACTGCGTCTCGTTGGGCGCGTGGCTGTGTCGCTGCTGCGTAGCTCCGACCTTTCCATCGTCTTACTTCTCAAGTGCTGAGAGATGGGCGGCCCCCGGGCTCTGTCTGGCGCTCTCCCGGCGCTGTCTCTGCACATCGGGGTTTTGCGTTTGTCTTGCTTTCCCTCGGCGTCTCCTTCACCTTCCAGTTCCCGTCAGCAGTGATCACGGTTTGCTTCGCGGCCCCAGCTGTCACATCAACAAACGTGAAAGTTTTCATGCAGGGAGTCGGTCTCCTTCTGGCTGGCTGTCGCTGTATTTCCCACATCCCCACGTTGAACTGGTTTTGATATTACTAGTAAGTTGCATTTAAGCAGCTCTCCAAGGCTGGCATGGCCTCATTGCAAAACAAATGCCTCACGCAACATAGAAAGACCGAAAGCAAGCCTCACGTAAGAGAGCTGCAGACGCCCACAAGTGCCAGAGACCCGATTTAGCGCGCTGGAGGCCGCGTGCGGAGCCCCTGTGCGTGGCTTCCAGCACGTCCGAGGTGATTCCCTCGGTACCAGTGAGCTCTGTGCTCTTTTTGGTGGATGATGGGAGAAAAAGCTTGGTGGGGGTCAGTAGCTATCCCTTTTTTAAAAGTTAGTTAAAATTAATTAATTTTTAAAGCTAGCTGTCTCTTTTAACTTTGCCAGAAAGCCATTCCCTGATGCCAGTGAAAACTTGTAGTTATCTCTGTGTGTTACTGCGCTGGTCTTACGTATTGTGTAGCAGTTCCATTCAGACGCACTAATGATCCTTTCCAAGAAAGGAAAGGACTTACTAGAGCGCTTCTTAGGACTTGATGTCACTGCTGTCAGCTACATTGGAACGTGAGTAGCTGGATGTGCAGATGGTGCCGTGTGCCGTCTTCGGTGTGTTGGCCAGAGCCGGGAAGGGCCCTCTGTCCCCACCGTCTGTACGCACACTGCCCTCGTCAAGCCCCTGCCGAGTGGTTCTTGACGGCCGCCGGAGCGCTGTGCGGTTCTCTCGCGGCTCTGGGGAGAAGGCGTCCGCCCGCCGAGGAGCGCTGAGCTGGAGGCTGAGTCACCACTCGGCAGCTCATCACTGGGTATGAATGAACGGCTCTTAGTTATGAAGAACTCTGCAAGAAGAAACTCAAGTTCATGTCCCCGAGGTCGCCTCTGATGGCTGTTTGTTCACAGCATGAAGGGTCCAGTCGGTAAAGACAGCATCTCAGCACGCTGACACGGCTGCGGACCGAGGCGGTGCGCCGCTGCAGTTTACCCTCTGGCATTCTCTTTCGTTATTAGGCCACGAAAGGAGCAGCAGTGCCTTTTTTGTTTTTTCAGAGTTGAATTACAACAAGGTATAAAAAACAGTTGGAAAAGCGCAGTTCATACACTGGGATGGAAGTGGATTGTCTTAAGGGAAACCAGTCCTGATTTGGAGCGCTTTTATAAATCTCGTGCTGCTTTCCCTGGCCGTTCTGAGAGATTGTTTCAGCCTGCTGCCCCCTCACGGGGTTAGAACGCAAAGTTGCTGGCACCAGGGTCCTGTGGCTCGGTCCGAGTACTGGTCATTTGAGCCGCATTTTCATAGGGTGACTGAGCTAAGCGGTGCTTATGTGAATTTCTCCTCCTGCCTTCTTTCAAATTTCAGTTCCAAGAACCCAGAAGAAGCAGAACTGGAAGACACACTCAATCAAGTGGTAAGGTGCTTCCTACCTTTGCAGTGGAAACTCCCTTTGGGGGGCTGGCTTATAGGCCGTGCGTGGGGCCGTGATCGTCAGTGACTCCGTGTTCGCTGCGGGCTTTTGCTCCCCAAGTGGAGCCATTACTCGTAGCACTGGTTGTTTTCCTCGCTGGGGCGGAGTCTCGTCCCGTTAGTGTGATTGGAGGGGCCGGTGGGAACGCTTGCTGTGAACACCCAGGAGCGGGCCTGCTGCCGTCCGCATGGGCTGCCAGGCCCAGCCGAGCCCGAGCCCGTGCTGGCTGCAGCGTGCGGCCGTCGGCTGGGGAGCTCCCTCGCTAGCCTCTCCTCCGGGTCATTGCCAGATGGTTGTCTTCAAGTACATCGAGGACAAAGACGTGTTCCAGAAGTTCTACGCGAAGATGCTGGCCAAGAGGCTGGTGCACCAGAACAGCGCGAGTGACGATGCTGAGGCCAGCATGATCTCCAAGCTGAAGGTGAGTTCCGCGTGGGCGGAGGGGTGGGGGGCGTCCACACAGTGCCAGCCGCGCCCTGGGGCCAGGCGTGTCACCCCGCCCGCCTCTCACACCTGGGCCGTGCGGTTGGCTGGGGTTGACCGCGTCTGCTTCGCTCTGCCACTTGCACGAGGGGAGGCCTGAGGGTCTGATGCTGAGTCCTCCCTTCTGGCACCTTCGCACTGGAAGAGTGCAAAGGTGCATAACACACAACACACTTCATAGTGTTAGGGAACCTCGCTCAGGTGCCCCAACCATGGCTGCGGGGTGCATGAGGACCTGACTGCTCGACTTAGCATTTTCTCTTCGTGGTGTGGCTGCTTTGCTTCGCTTTGCCTTGCCAGGGACTCGTGTGTCGCTGGTCAAGCGCTCAGTCGCGTTGCTCTGGCCCCGTACCGTTTCATTTTGAGACAGTCTCACTAAGTTGCCTGGGCTGGCCTCTAACTTTGATCCTTCTGCCTCAGCCTCCTCCATAGTTAAGATTACAGGCCGTCACCACCTTCCCTAGCCAATAGTGTTTTAATTTGAACCGGTACATTAATACCATAAAATATAACCACATGTTACTAACTTTAGCATTTTAGTACAGTTAAGTATGCGTTATGCTGTGATTTGTCTAAGCTTCTTTGTGTACGTTTATACTTCTGCGCAAACGAGTGACACCGTTACCCGGATTCATTTCAGCAAGCTTGTGGTTTTGAGTATACCTCCAAACTTCAGCGGATGTTCCAGGACATCGGCGTAAGCAAAGATTTGAACGAGCAGTTCAAAAAGCACCTGACGAATTCGGAACCCCTGGACCGTGAGTATGGAGCACCTGTGGGCTTCTCTCGCAGACAGTTGTTTGTAGCAGATGAGAACTAACGGGGGGAGTGAAGGCGGCGGGCGTCCTGTCCGAAGCTCAGTGTCGAGAGGACAGTCTGCCAGGACGAGGTCACGGCGCCGGTCACACGACGAACTGGGCCTGGTCCCGGGCCTGGGCCTCCTGTGCGCGCTGAGCGCTCAGCCTCCACACGGACGAGGGGCTCGTCGCTGTGCCCGGTTCAGACCTAATTTAGAGCGGTTCTGGTCCTCAGGACTCCTCCCGGCCTGTAGAGTAGAGACGCAGACGCAAGCGGGCCGTGCTTTGAGGTCTTGCTGCACCACAGAGGCGGCAGGTTTGTGCTGACGCCATCGGGAGAACCCTCACTTTCGGTGAAAAGTGGAGAAGTATTCTTCCCCAACCGGAAGGCGCTCCCTTCCCTGCTGAGCCTGACGCTCTGTGGGCTGCACGGCCGCTGGACGGGTGCAGCTGCTGTTGGGGCTCGGAGGTTAGCCGCGTCTGCATCGTGTCTTTCGCAGGCGGAAGCGGGGCACACGCCGCGGGAAAGGCGGCCTGGGCCTGCAGCACCCTTGCCCCGGGGGCCCGGCTGTGGCCCGGGTAGGCTGAGTCACTGAGACACAGCAGGGTACCAGCGCCGGAGGGAAAGTCACTCCGCAGGGGCAGCTGGCTCTTGCGCCTCTTACTCATCTTAACTGAATAAAGCGAATTGACGCTATCTGTGGTCTGTCCTTGACTTCATAGCCAAGTGGGATTTTGCATTTAATGTAGCATTCCACATTATGTGAGCAGTGGCTTTGCCAGTCTACGAGACTGACTGCGTGCCTTCCCGAATTTTCTCCCACAGTGGATTTCAGTATCCAAGTCCTGAGCTCTGGGTCGTGGCCCTTTCAGCAGTCGTGCACGTTCGCCTTGCCGTCCGAGGTAGGGCTGGGTTCACCCTCTGTTGGTTCCTGGGCGGCCGTGGCCTGTGGGGACCCTGCCACAGGCCCCAGGGTGGTGGGGGCTGGAGGCGGGCGTCTGTCCGTCACTGCTTGGCCTGCACGCTCTGGCGTGTCGGTGCCTAGGAGGAAGTCTCGTGCCGGCATTCATGTTGGCTGTGAGTGAGCTTTGTGCGGGAGCACGGACAGCGCGCGCTCACTTAGCGCTGGCTGCACGGCGGGTCGGGGACGGACGCCCCGTAACGCTCTGCTCTTCTCCAGCTGGAGCGCAGCTATCAGCGATTCACAGCTTTCTATGCCAGCCGGCACAGCGGCAGAAAATTGACCTGGTTATATCAGCTGTCCAAAGGAGAGCTGGTGACGAACTGCTTCAAAAACAGATACACTTTGCAGGTAAGTTCACCTTTTTATTTGGTGGGGGGACCAAGTTTACGTTCTAAAAGAAGATGGGACAAGTTGTAGCAGTGAGGATCAGGGACTCCCACAACAGAGGAGAGAGGTGGTTTTGATCAGACAGCGCCGCGGGGAGAGCGGCTGCGGCAGTCAGGCGCGCTGCACTCTGGTGCTCCGGCCGGGGCGAGTGACTTCATGTTTCTAGGCCTTAGCTTCCTCCTCCACTCGGTGGGGACGTCGGCACTTGTGCCTCGGCAGCAGTGTGACAAGCAGGTGACGCTTAGCACAGTGCACGTTGGGCGCTCAGGTGACGCCTGAAGCAGCTGGAAATGCACGTAACATGTGATCAGTTAGGGCACCAGCTCTTTGCCTGTCACGGAGCAGCTTCACACCCGTAAAACCCTCCAGTGCTTACGGCAGTCAGAGCACCAGTAACCGTAACTGCGTAACTAACCTGTTTCCGGTGTGTAGGTAAGAAAACGAGCCCCGAATGTAAGAGAGTGTCCCCGGGTCCCCAGCTTATGTGTGGCTGCCGGATCTCAGCCGCTGTGGGGCCCTGGGACAGGCCGCTGCTCACCGTCACTTTCTCTTAGCGGCGACCAGGTCTTGCCCTGAGCATCACCGAGATCTCGGTGACACTGGCACACGGTCTAGTCCCAGGCAAGGGGCAGCTGTGGTTTGCTGTAAACCATGTCAGACCTATCTTGCTTTAATTCATAGTGAAGTACTTAGGGTTAAAAAAAAAGCTAGGCCTGAGTAGCTCACGCCTATAATCCCAGCACTCAAGAAGCAGAGGCAGGAAGGTTGCAGCAAGTTCAAAGCCAGCCTGAACTACATAGCAAGACCCTGTCTTAAAACTCCCCGCAAAATAATACACATTCATATGGAAGATTCATACTTCATATCTGTGTGTAACAGGTGCATCTTTACAAAGGAGTGTGGGTGCGTGCAGTCTATATTTGCATAGGTAACACAGTTCAGAAAAAATTCACCATCACTTGAATGTTTGCAACGGTAGGAAGTGACGTGCCTTTCAGGAAAACGGGCATCATAGTGCTCTGCCACAGAGTCCCTTCTACATAGGGCTGCTGTGCCTTTGGCATCTGCGTGAAGGATTTGCGTGGTCCACTCAGGCTCTGTATTTGCAGAGCTGCTTCCCGTGTGTTTAAATTGTTCTCTCTCCTTACATGGGGGGCCTCGAAGGCGTCCACCTTCCAGATGGCCATCCTGCTGCAGTACAACTCGGAGGACGCCTACACCGTGCAGCAGCTGACGGACAGCACGCAGATCAAAATGGTAGGCCCGCCGCAGGTCCCGCGCCTGAGCACGCCGCCGCTTCCGGCCCTCGCGGACGCGGGCGGGAGGTGTGGGGAGGGAACTGGTGTCTGCGTGTCACCTGCTCTGCTCCGCCAAAACCCGCAGAGGCCTCGCAGCTGTTAACGGGGCTGCTCTCTCCCCTGCCGGACGCTGCCTGCAGACGGGCCCGTAGAAGCTGGCTGTGTGTCTGCCCGCGTGCCCTGGGTGCCTGTGCTTTTCAGCTTTTCCATCTCCTAGCGGACTTCATCCACTTTATAGTGGAAAAAGATTCCAGCATAGAGGAGCCCCATCTCGTCTGTCCCTTACTCTGCTGCTGGACGTTCAGGCTGGGGCTGTGTGCCGTTCGCCTCAGCTTGTGCACGGGGGCGGGCTTACTGAGCTACAAGTCACTGAATTGGACTTGCAGAGGGACCGCTCTCACCTGTCCACGGCTTCCCGCTCCTGAAGCGGGATTAGCAGTCGTGTTTCCGTGCCCCTCGAAACAGGTTTTGTGTAGTTTCTTCTTGCGGTCACCAGCGGGTGTGCAGCCGAGCGCTAGTGTGGCTTTGACTTGCTTTTCCCTGACAGTCAGCAGTGTTGCTTCCTGGGCCTGTGACTCTGCATTTCCTCCTGAGAGCACTGCCTGCCCGGTTTGGATTACTTAGTCTTTTCATTGTTAAAGTGTAAGAATTTTGTACATATTTTGTATGCTAGACCATTATCAGGTATGTGACCAACCAGAAAAATGTTTTCTGGAGTGTCTTTTCACTTTTTTAATTAACTCATAATTATACATATCTGTGGAAAATGCACACTTTATTATACATATATTTTCTGTTTTGACGAAGTTCACACTCAGGACCTCACCCTTGCTTTTTGTTGTTGCTGGCGATTTTGGTGGCAGATGGAAGAAATCATTGCCTAGTCAAAGTCAAATCCCTGTATAGGTGCCGGCAACACTGTCGAAAGGCAGTTGATCTGCAGGGCATGTGTGGTGGTGCACACCTATAATCCCAGCAATCAGGAGGCTGAGGCAGGAGGATTGCCACAAGTTCAAGGCCAGCCTGGACTACACAGTGAGTTCAAGGCCAGTCTGAACTACACAGTGAGATGCTGTGTCAAAAAAAAAGCAGTTGATCATAGATGCATGATATATCTGGATTCTCGAGTTTTTCCCATGATCCGAGTCTCTTTTTTAGGCCAGTACCACACTGCCTTGATGACTGTTGTGTAGGGAGCTTGAACCAGACTTGTTTCCGCGCCACACAGGCTGGCGTGGGCCCTTCCCCGGCCACAGGGGCTCGGGGCCGGCTGAGGAGGTGGGGGGGCCTGTTGTCACGCCGGCGAGGTGAGTTCTCGCAGGCTGTGGGTGTGGAGTGGACCCCATCCATTTATCTTTACGTTCATTTGTGTTGCATGGTGTTTAGTGATGCACCTTGCATTTCTTCTGTTGAAGTTATTCCTGCGTACCGTTTCTGGTGCTGTTATTAGTGTTTCCTTGACCTCTGTCTCCGCAGCTCTGTTTTAGTGCGTAGACGTACAGCTGACTGCCATACTGATCTTGTACCCTGCAACCTCGCTTACCTCGTTGCCGAGCTCTCACAGGAGTTCTTCAGGGTTTTTTAATACACCACCATCCCATCTGCACACACAGACAAAAGCTTCAGACTTCGAGTTTTGGGATTAGGGTTCAAACAGTAACATCTATGTAAATATTCCAAACTAAGAATTTTTTAAAAGTGTTTCATTTTTGAGTGTGAGATACTTCTGAGCCGCAAGTATTTAAATCTTTTTTTTTTTTTTGGTGCCAGGACTCACACTCAGGACCTCACACTTGCCAGGCAGGCGCTGTGCCACTGAGCTGTATCCCCGGCGCCCGCCCCCCCAGCATTTAAACCTTGAATTTGCGGGAATCAGTGGCCTGTGTATGTGGGGCCTCCTGTGACCCCTCCTTTGCGCTATCAGATGAGAGGACAGCTGCGGGTGGCCGCAGCCGCGCCCAAGGTGTGGGAAGGGTGGCATCTGCAGCTGTCCCAGAGGCCACTGCTCACTTCTCGCGTTCGAGTCCCTTGGCGCACCGGGCCGCTCCCGTCCTCTCCGCGCCCTGCCCTCCCCTGCCTGAGACGTCCGCAGTCTGGGCCCGAGGCCCCACTCGGAGGCGGCCGAGGCCGTGTGCCCCTGCGCCGGGCCGGGCG